TCCAATGCTATCCTGATTCCTGACCTTTTGTCTTTAATACAAAGTAACACTGACAGGTAGAAGACAATAGATAATGCCTTCCTAATACTAAGGGGAAAATAGTTTCCAACTTAAATATTGACATCCAGTCAAATTATTAATAAGAGAAGACAGCAGAATAAAGATATTTTCAAAACTATAGCGTCTCGGCCGGGCGCGGTGGCTCAAGCCTGTAATCCCAGCACTTTGGGAGGCCGAGGCGGGTGGATCACGAGGTCAAGAGATCGAGACCATCCTGGTCAACATGGTGAAACCCCGTCTCTACTAAAAATACAAAAAATTAGCTGGGCATGGTGGTGTGTGCCTACAATCCCAGCTACTCGGGAGGCTGAGGCAGGAGAATTGCCTGAACCCAGGAGGCGGAGGTTGCGGTGAGCCGAGATCGCGCGATTGCACTCCAGCCTGGGTAACAAGAGCAAAACTCCGTCTCGGGGGAAAAAAAAAAAAAAAAAAACTATAGCGTCTCAAAAATTCCCTCACACATGCATGCATTTTCTGTTACTGGAAGACGTAGCCATCAAAATGAGAAAATAAATCATGAAATGGAAAACATGGAATTTAAAAAACAGGAGATTAAGAAAGACAGGAAAAAAGGAAAAGGAAATTCTCATCATGGTAGTGAAGACAGATCAGAGAACAACCACTTTGAAAGAGGCATAGAGAGCATCTGGTCTTGAATGAACAGAAGAAGGTGGTTCCAGGAAAAGGCATTCTGGAAAAAAAAAAAAAAAAAAAAGACCTGAGTTAACAGGTTTTTAGATTGGTTTGGCCATGTGGAAATTAGATTGAAATGGAAAAGAAGAATTAACATAAGCTGGATATTCTAGTTAGAAAAAAAAGAAAAAAGAAAAAGAATTATTAATCAATGAAAATGAAGAAAATGAAAAAACAACACAATTATTTACTCTGGGGGAAAAAAGGCTATACAAGGGAAAAATAGTACACTACTTGGCTTGGTAGTGAATAATATTTAAAAGCACTAAATATTCACTGCACTCCAGCCTGAGCAAGAAAAAGTGGGAGGACAGGAGTAGGAGGTGTGTGGTATGATGGAGCTAAGGGTTCATTTACTATGACATAAAGTTAATAGATTTGAAAAGGAACAAAAATTAAGAAATGTCTTTATAAGATTATTATTCAAAGAGAGGCAAGTTCTACAATTTTTGGAAGAAAAAAGGCTTATGTTTAAGCTGGTATATGAAAGATAACAACCTATTTATAAATTTATGGAAATTTTTGTAATCTCAGCTATTTGGGAGGCTGAGACAGGAGGATTGCTCAAACCTAGGAGTTTGAGACCAGCATAGGGAACACAGCAAGATTCTGTCTAAATTTAAAAAAAAAAAAAAAAAGAGAGAGAGAAAAATTCATGGAAATTTTAGCGATAGAGGAGAGCTTTTAAAACCGGAGAACAATCACATTCTTCTATAAATCTCAAAGAATCACATTTAAGCAGCAAAAGAACAAAATAAGAAATATAAGCCTCAAAATGATAGACAAGCCGCACAGGATATGGAAGAGATCTATGAAATGAGGACAGAAGAATACATGCTTTCTTTGTAAAAGATTTGAGAAAAATATTTAGACAGATCACTGTAGTATACTTTAAAATGTAGTCCTGCTTTTATTTATTACTGAGAGGGCATGTTTTATTTCCTGCTGTATAGTTTGAGTTTTTTCCCAAGGATTAATATTTGCAACTTTATAAATTATGTTTAATGTTAAAATATAATTAAAAACATGGTCCTATGTGATTGAAGGGAGATGGAGAAGCTTTTCAATATCCCCTTCCAGGGCTATGGCATCATGAATGAGCAAGAATTAAAGCACTTGTTTTAAGTAATTCTGAGAACAATCTAACTCAAGTGAGTATCTTTAGTATTACCTCTTTAAAACAAGTTTTAGTGTTAGATGACTAATTATGATTCTGTGTTTCTGCAATGAAATAAAAATTCCAGTATATTCAAGAACGTCTGCCACCCACCTTCCTGATCTAACCTAATAATGTCTCTATTATGGTCCATGCAAGCTTCCTACCATGGGGAATCAGGAATAAAGCTGATTTTTTTTGTACAATGGAGGCATGTTATGTAAATTTTACCCATTCACAGGTTTAACATGATTCATTTTGTGAGTCTATTGTGAAAAGCTAAGCTAGAGCAATAATATCCCTTTCTTGGAAATCTGAACTGTAGGAAAAAAATGTTCTATTTGGCAGGTGTGGTGATGTACAGACAAGTGGTACCAGGATATGAACCTTGAGACTTGGCTATATCACAGATCTTGCTCTTCCTTATGTGTCAATTTACTAAGTTTAGTAAGGTTTCTGCCCCTCCTGAGGTCAGGTTATTCAACCTCATTTGAAGTAACTCTCAACTGCCATTTGTATGTTATTATAGCTTCTTAATTGCACACTATGTCACTACCATGAAAATATGCCTAAATTCAAATTCACATGTTACTTACTATTTTAGATATGTTCTCTACAGGCCTGGGTAAAGCAAAAGCTGAATGACTTTCCTAGCATAGCCTAAATATTTCCTTAGTATTACCTTCACAATTTTACATACACTTTCTACCCTAAAAACCATGTCCCTTAATAAATGATAAAACCCACATTTAAGAATTAGGTGGCAGCTATAGCACTGAAGAGGCAGCTCTAATTTTAGAAACATTTCGTAGGTCCACCACTTAACTGAAATCTTGAGCACGTCACTTTAGCTCTTAGGACTAGTTTCTTTATCAATGAATGGACCAGGTGAGTGCTAAGATCCTTTTCAGGTCCATAATTACGTAAATCCTCCTTCAGCAAGCTTTTTTCCCCTCACTATTTAGTCTACAGCATTTATTACTCTTATATAACACTCCAGCAAAATGTTAGCTCAACATGTAAGATATGTTTCCCAAAGTGTGACGCGAGGGGGTATATGACATAAATCCAGTTCACATAATGGCAAATGTTATTTTAATAATTCTCTAATTATTTTATTGGGTATTAGCAAAAACCTAACTAGCATATCAAATCAGTGATTTTATGTACTTAGAATGAGTAATAAGTAAAATAGACTTGAAAAATATTCAGTAAGTTCTAGTACAGTTTGTACTCACTCACAAGTGATAAACACCATGAAGGTAGTATATAAATGACTAGAGTATGGAAAAATACAGCCATACAACCTTTGCACATTCATTTAATAATGTACCTACCACCATGTGCCACACAACTGTATTTCCACTAGATGTTGTAGATAGGTCTGTTTAAGATTTTAATGTTAACAGTGAAATAACTGTGACCCAGATTTATTTTTTGCAATACTATTGGAACAGCACTAAATACAACATCTGTGAACTGGAAACATTCACAACGGTGCAAAGTATGGAAAACCAAATATTTATTATCGACTCCAAGATTACCTATATTCCTTAATGAGTTATAAAACATGGGGTGGAAGATTAGGTTCCTACTCATCATTTAATGGCTCTATCTACTTTGATGACTTAATATCCTTAAAAATAATTCTTATAAAAATTGTTCTTCAGGTCAGGTGCAGTGGCCCCTCCCTGTAATCCCAGTACTTTGAGAGGCCAGGGCAGGCAGATAACCTGAGGCCAGGAGTTTGAGACCAGCCTGGCCAACATAGTGAAACGCTGTCTCTATTAAAAACACAAAAATTAGCCAGGTGTGGTGGTGCACGCCTGTAGTCCCAGCTACTTGGGAGGCTGAGGCACAAGAATCACTTGAACCCAGAAGGAAGAGGTTGCAATGAGCTGAGATTGCACCACTGTACTCCAGCATGGGCAACAAGAACAAAACTCTGTCTCAAAAAAAAAAAAAAAAAAAAAAAAAAGTTCTTCAAACTTATAAAGAATTATTCTGCCTTAATTCCTCTTTTCTCCAGTATAATTTCTTTCTTTTTAAAAATAATCTTAGAAAATAAAAAGACAAGAAAAAAAATAATCTTAGAAAAACTTTCTCATAAAGTACTTATCAGTCTCACACTGGTATTTAGCCTTAGATGGAGTTTATCACACACTTTGGGCTGCATTCCCAAGCAATCCAACTCTGGGAAAACTCATTGTGTCAGAGGGCACTACCTGCCTGATTTCCTTCTCTTAATTTTATTTATTTTTATTTTTGAGATAGAGTCTCGCTCCACCACCCAGGCTGGAGTGCAGTGGTGCCATCTCGGCTCACTGCAACCTACACCTCCTGGTTCAAGAGATTCTCCTGCCTCAGCCTCCCCAGTAGCTGGGACTATAAGCGTGCATCACCACGCTAGGCTAGTTTTTGTACTTTCTCTTAATTTTAAATCTCTCTCACCTTGGTATCAAAATTTGACTAGATGTAGTGGCGCACACTTGCAATCCCAACACTTCGGGAGGCCAAGACAGGTGGATCATTTGAAGTCAGGTGTTCAACGCCAGCCTGACCAACGTACTGAAACCCCATCTCTACAAATATATATATTATACTATAGATATCTATATTTATATACATTTTTATTTATATGTATATATATTTATATACATATAAATAAATATACAAAAATTAGCCAGGCATAGTGGTGAATGCCTGTAATCCCAGCTATTCAGGAGGCTGAGGCAGGAGAAGTGCTTAAATCCTAGAGGCAGAGGTTGCAGAGAGCCAAGATCATGCCACTGTACTCCAGCCTGGGCGACACAGTGAGTGAGACTCTGTCTTCAAAACAAAACAAAATTACACCATATTACCCACTTTTCCTAAAAATATAAAAGGATTGGAAATTAGGAACTCATATCCATTTTCCTAGTCTATAATAACTTTTCAACATCAACTGTTAATGTTTTGTCTTTTTAAAAACATTAAATCTACTGTTACTTTATATGAATTATTCTAGTATAGCCCAAATATTTCTTTACTACTACTACTATGGATTCAGTAATAGATGGTATTACAGAAAATGATAAAATAAAGTTCTTACCTCAGGCCTCAGAGAAGGAAGAATAACAATTTCTTGCAATGCTTGCTTTGCCAAGTCTTGACCAGCTATATCATCAAATTTAACAGCTGTTCCACTAAGAAACAAGATCTCAGTTAGTTCTACAATACAAATAGGACCCAGTTATTACAAGATAAAGCCTAAGCCCTAAGACATAGTTATTTTATATAACTGTTAAACTATAGTTAAATCAGTAATAGTTTTCTACATTTATAATAATTAAAAACTATCATTAAAATTATGTAAACCAGACAAGGTATTTATTATCTATTTCACTTATGACATGTTTTCTAAGTAAAACTGAAAAATAAAAAGTATAAAACATTTAGATGGCAAAACTTACTTGTCCACAATTTCATTCATTATAAGGTTAGCAAGGTTGCTGTCCACATTCCTAAAATTCTTCAAGTCTTTTTTCTTACGAGCAGTAGTTGTAGGGGTAGAAGGTTTATTTGTCCTATTTGTTTTTGGAGTACCCTTAGAGGTTACAAAATTTTAATGTGAAAATACAACCTAATATTTATACTTTTCATAAATAAGTTAAAGTTCACAGGATTTAAGCTTTAAAAATAGGAAAAAAGGGTATAAAAATCCAGAAATTGTACATTTACCTGAAGATACAACTTGTATTCACTAGGGAACTATATTTGGCACAATGCCAGTTATAGAGGATTTTTATCCAGAGATTTAGTTTTCACAAAATAAAACAAATTTTAACCCATGTTAGAATAATGACAAAACTCTAGGTATGTTACTGTTACAAAACATTTACATAGAATAAAATAATTTTTAAAATAAATTTAAAATAAAATATATAGCATTACATAAAACAGACTGGGTAAGCAAAACTTAATATTAAATGTCTAATGAAGCCCAAAAAAAGTTTTATGGCAAGTTGCCCTGTGAATTTTTTAAAAAATTAACTTTATGGAAACATATCGATTCTCTAAAGCATTACAAAGTACCTACAATAAACTTAAGCAAGTGTAGTAACTTAAAAATGTTTCTATTTGCAAAAACACAGCAATTAAAGTTACTGTTCCAGAATACCTTATGAGTGACAGGTACAGGACCAGATCCCTGTTTCACTCCAGAAACCATGGATAAACCACTGCAACTAGGTGCTCTATGGTGGCCTGAAAGGCCTGCAGATCCAGTTTTCATAACTGTTTTTGAACGAGGCAGTGAATTACTAGTGTGTGTTAAGGGGTCTTTTCTTTTTGGAACAGCTCCACTTTCTGAAAGGAAAAAGTAAAACCATTGTGATTAGAAAATTGTGGCTGAACATAAAGACAAACAAACATTTGTAAAACCAAGGTAATAATATATTTTTAAATTCAAAAATATTTCACAATAAGATTTCTTTTTTTTTTTTTTTTTTGAGATGGAGTTTCGCTCGTTACCCAGGCTGGAGTGCAATGGCGCGATCTCGGCTCACCACAACCTCCGCCTCCTGGGTTCAGGCAATTCTCCTGCCTCAGCCTCCTGAGAAGCTGGGATTACAGGCATGTGCCACCATGCCCAGCTAATTTTTTGTATTTTTAGTAGAGACGGGGTTTCACCATGTTGACCAGGATGGTCTCGATCTCTCGACCTCGTGATCCACCCACCTCAGCCTCCCAAAGTGCTGGGATTACAGGCTTGAGCCACCGCGCCCGGCCCCACAATAAGATTTCAATGAGAACATGTACCAGGGTCTTCAGAGGGGTGGTCACTAGGTAGATAGGAATATGATTATTAGGTTTTTCCCCCTGAGGTACATTCTAATTTTCTCTTTTTGAGATCTGTGGTCCAGACTGGAATGTAGCATCAGTATCATGATCACAGCTCACTGTGGCCTTCATCTTCCTGGGCTCAAGTGATCCTCCCACCTCAACCTACCAAGCAGCTGGAACAAGAGTCATGCACCACCAGACTGGACTAATTAAAAAAAATTTTTTTATAGAAACAGGGTCTCACTATGTTGCCTAGGCTGGTCTCAAACTCCTGGGCTCAGGTAATCCTCCCACCTTGGCCTCCCAAAGTACTGGGATTACAGGAGTGAGCCACTGCGCCTGTCCCTATTCTAATTTTCTTATTAAAAACAGTATTTGTGCCTGTAATCCCAGCTACTCGGGAGGCTGAGGCAGGAAAATCACTTGAAGCAGGGAGTTAGAGGTTGCAGTGAACTGAGATTATGCCACTGCACTCCAGCCTGGCAACAGAGAGACACTCCATCTCAAAAAACACAGAAACAAACAAAACAGTATTTGTAAAAGAAGAAACGACTTCATTTGGGGGAACAGGAAGATGATATAAAAAATTCATGAAACAAATAAAGCTTCCAAATATTTAGGAAACAAAATGTAGTAACGGCATTAGGGATAGGATGCCCAGAGGAAAAAAAACAGCAAAACTATTATAACTATAAATACCATGAAAGTCTGTTCCCATCAAGAGAGTCTTAAAAATTAATCCGCTGGTCTTCCTTCAGGTTCAACAAAAAAAGAAAAAAAAATTAATTGGCCAGGTGCAGTGGCTCACACCTGTAATCCCAGCACTTTGGGAGGCCGAGGTGGGCGGATCACAAGGTCAGGAGTTCAAGCCTGGCCAACATGGTGAAACCCCATCTCTACTAAAAATACAGAATTAGCCGGGAGTGGTGGCAGGTGCCTGTAATCCCAGCTACTCAGGAGGCTGAGGCAGGAGGATCTCTTAAACCCAGGAGGTGGAGGTTGCAGTGAGCCAAGACTATGCCATTGCAATCCAGCCTGGGTGACAGAGCTGGATGCCATCTCAAAAAAAAAAAAAAAAAAAAAAAATCAACTTTAGGCCAGGTGTGGTGGTTCATACCTGTAATCCCAGCATTTTGGAGGCTGACGCAGGCTGATCACCTGAGGTCAGGGGTTCAAGACCAGCCTAGCCAACATGATGAAACCCCATTTCCACTAAAAGTACAAAAATTAGCTGGGCATGGTGGCGCATGCTTGTCGTTCCAGCTACCCGGGAAGTTGAGGCAGAAAAATCCATTGCAGTGAGCCCTGATCACACCACTGTCCTCCAGTCTAGGTGACAGAGAGGGACTCTATTTCTTTTTTTTTCCTTTCTTTTTTTTTTTTTTTTTGAGACGGAGTTTTTGCTCTTGTTACCCAGGCTGGAGTGCAATGGCGCGATCTCGGCTCACTGAAACCTCCGCCTCCTGAGTTCAAGCAATTCTCCTGCCTCAGCCTCCTGAGTAGCTGGGATTACAGGCACGTGTCACCATGCCCAGCTAATTTTTTTGTATTTTTAGTAGAGATGGGGTTTCACCATGTTGACCAGGATGGTCTTGATCTCTTGACCTTGTGATCCACCCGCCTCGGCCTCCCAAAGTGCTGGGATTACAGGCTTGAGCCACCGCGCCCGGCTGAGGGACTCTATTTCAAAAGAGAATAATAATCAATTTTAATTGAAAGAGTATAAAGATGCACTTTTACATATGCCAAGTATTATTTGCACTGTACATATATAAACGAACATTTATAGAACACCTCCAATTAAGTTAAAAAGGTTATTTGTGCCGGGCGCGGTGGCTCAAGCCTGTAATCCCAGCACTTTGGGAGGCTGAGGCGGGTGGATCACGAGGTCGAGAGATCGAGACCAACCTGGTCAACATGGTGAAACCCCGTCTCTACTAAAAATACAAAAAATTAGCTGGGCATGGTGGTGCGTGCCTGTAATCCCAGCTACTCAGGAGGCTGAGGCAGGAGAATTGCCTGAACCCAGGAGGTGGAGGTTGCGGTGAGCCGAGATCGCGCCATTGCACTCCAGCCTGGGTGACAAGAGCGAAACTCTGTCTCAAAAAAAAAAAAAAAAAAAAAAAAAAAAAAAAAAAGGTTATTTGTCCATTATTGCTCTACTACATATATTACAGGTTTTTAAATGTTTAAATCTCACCGCTCCTAAATATTTTTGTATGCTACACATCAACATCAGTGTTTATTTACAATGTTTACTGTGAAAACAAATGTTAAATAAATCAGTCAGCAAATAAGAGTGGCCAAAACAAAGACAAAAGCCTCAAGTTTGCTTTTGTAATCAAATCTCTTAAGATGGTTTAAGAAAACTAAAGACTAAACTAGTATAGGAAATCAGCTTATTTATTTAGAGAACCAGTTAATCTTTATTGCAAGTTAACCATTATAAAATCAGAAAGTATAAATGAAATTCAAGTTAAAAATAAAACCCCACACTGGGCCAGGTGTGGTGGCTCATGCCTGTAATCCCAGCTACCTTGGGAGGCTGAGGTGGGTGGATCCCAAGGTCAGGAGTTTGAGACCAGCCTGACCAACATGGTGAAACTCTGTCTCTACTAAAATTACAAAAATTAGCTGGACATGGTAGCACACGCCTGTAATCCCAGCTACTCAGGAGGCTGAGGCAGGAGAACTGCTTGAACCTGAGAGGCAGAGGTTGCAGTGAGCCAAGATCACGCCATTGCATTCCAGCCTGGGTGACAAAGTGAGATTCCTTCACAAAAACAAAACAAAGGCCGGGCGTGGTAGCTCAGGCATGTAATCAAAGCACTTTGGAGGCCAAGGCAGGTGGATCACCTGAGGTTGGGAGTTCAAGACCAGCCTGACCAACATGGTGAAACTCTGTCTTAAAATAAAACAACAAAAAAAACAAAACAAAAAAAAACCCATATTCAGGATAACTTAAAACAAGGTTCTGGAATAAATAAGACCTAATCGTTGATAGCGCAACAGGGTGATTATAGTCAATAATAACTTAAGGCCAGCCTTGGTGGCTCACGCCTATAATCCCAGCATTTTGTGAGGCCAAGGCAGGCAGATCACAAGGTCAGGAGTTCGGACTAGCCTGGCCAACATGGTGAAACTCCATCTCTACTAAAAAATACAAAAATTAGTCAGGCATGGTGGCACACATCTATAATCCTAGCTACTTGGGAAGCTGAAGCAGGAGAATTGCTTGAACTCAGGAGAGGGAGGTTGCAGTGAGCTGAGATCGTGCCACTGCACTCCCGCTTGGGCAACAGAGCAAAACTTCATCTCAAAAAAAAAGCTATACCAGCCAGGTACAGTGGCTCACACCTATAATCCCAGCACTTTGGGAGACTGAGGTGGGAGAAATGCTTAGGACCAGGAGTTTGAGACCAGACTGGCCAACATGGTGAAGCCCAGTCTCTACAAAAAATACAAAAATTAGCTGGGCATGGTGGCGCCCACCTATAGTCCCAGCTAATTTCAGCTGTACTCCAGCCTAGAGACAGTGAAACCCTATCTCAAAACAATAAATATATAAATAAAGCATACAATTTGATGAGTTTGTAAAAATGTGTATAATTGTCAAATAGCCATTAAAATCAAGACACAAAATGTTTCCATCATAGCCACAAGTTTACTTGTGTCCATTTGTACTCTCTTCCTCACCACTCCTGGACCCAGAAAACCATTCATCTGTTTTCTAACCCTACAGGAGTCATCAATTTAGTAATTTCTAAGGAGCTGGGTTCAAAGTCATTGAATCTTTCTTTTGCTATGTCTCATCTGCTCTTGAGGCTGTCTGTAAATTTTTAATTTCAGTAACTACACTTTTCAACTTTAGAATATTATTTTTATTGTCCAGTTTATATCATAAACTTAGATTTCCTGTTTGATAGTTGATGCCGTATTTTCTTTCAATTCTTTAAACATAATAATAGCTGCTTTGAAGTCTTTGCTAAATCCAACATCTGGGCCCATTCATAGTTTCTATTGATTGCTTTTGTGTGTGTGTAAATAAGGGTTATACTTTACTTTTTCTTTGCCTGTCTAGTAATTTTGACTTGAAAATTGGACAATGTATAATAGAACACTGTAGTAGTAAGTAGACTTTTGTATGACTATTTCCTAAAAGAGGTGACAGAGCTCATCCAAGGTTTTACATCAAGAATGTTCCAGAAGTGAACAACACCAATAAACTGTTAATAGGTCTGAGTGATCTACTTGGACTCATTGTGTATCAAACATCAATGCTGTGTAAATTAGCTATAAAGCCAGTATGCCCTACCAACTGGAAAACAGAAAAGAACAGGTTATGGGTTGAATATCCCTTATCCGAAGTGCTTGGGACCAGAACTGCGTAGGGTTTTAAAATTTGTTTGGATTTTGCAATGTTTGCATTATCCTTATTGATTCAGCATTCTTAATCCAAAAATCCAAAATCCAGAATACTCCAATGAGTATTTCCTTTGAGCATCAAGTCAGTGCTCAAAAAGTTTTAGATTTTTGGCCAGGCACAGTGGTTCATGCCTGTAATCACAACACTTTGGGAGGCCAGGGCGGGTGGATCACTTGAGGTCAGGAGTTTGAGACCAGCCTGACCAACATGGTAAAACCTTCTCTCTACTAAAAATATAAAAAATTAATCGAGTGTGGTGGCAGATGTCTGTAGTCCAAGCTACTCAGGAGGCTGAAGTAGGAGAATCACTTGAACCCATGAGGGTGGGGCGGGGGGGTTCGGAGGTTGCAGTGAGCTGAGATTGCACCACTGCACCCCAGCCTGAGTGACAGAGGAAGATTTTGTCTCAAAAAAAAAAAAAAAAAAGTTTTGAATTTTGGAGCATTTTGGATTTCAGGTTTCATATTAGGGATACTCAACTTGTACTAGGGATATGAAATAAGACAAATTTCAATTTTTTTCAAATAGGTCCCAGGAAGAGAATGTTGCTTTGGAGGGCAGGATGGGGCACACAGCAGAAAAACATGATAGGGTCTAGCATGTGAAATGAAGTAGAAGAGAACCAAGATAACAAGGAAAGGAAAGACAAAACCAACTCTTCAGGGCTAGAGAATTTTTTCTATTTATCCTAGTAGAATTGTTAGGATCTCGAATATATATTTTAGAAACTTTATATGTGATGTATTCTTACATTTCTTTCTTTTTTTTTTTTTTCCAGTAAGTGCCTTCTGAAAATGTCAGTCTTCACAGCCATGCTAGAAGAAACAGGCAAAATACTTGTATCTATGCTTGAAATCACTTTAAATCAGACACAGGAGCGAATGGGAAGAGGAAAATTGCCACTAACTATACTGTAAGACCAAACCAACATGAGATGTCCTTAATCGAGGCGTGAAGTCACAAGGGAAAGAGTTGATGACCAACCGTTTCTTCTGTCCATAGAAATCCTTTTACTTTCTTCTCTAGTAAAAGTATCTCTTCTCTTGTAAAACCTTACAGGTTTTGTATTACATATGAATAAAAAAGACAGGCCGGTGCGGTGGCTCAAGCCTGTAATCCCAGCACTTTGGGAGGCCAAGGCGGGTGGATCACGAGGTCAAGAGATCGAGACCATCCCGGTCTACATGGTGAAACCCCGTCTCTACTAAAAATACAAAACATTAGCTGGGCATAGTGGCGCGTGCCTGTAATCCCAGCTACTCAGGAGGTTGAGGCAGGAGAATTGTCTGAACCCAGGAGGCGGAGGCCGCTAAGATCGCGCCATTGCACTCCAGCCTGGGTAACAAGAGTGAAACTCCGTCTCAAAAAAAAAAAGGGAATCTAAACTAGTAAAGCTACTATGGAGAAGAGTATAGAGGTTCCTCAAAAAACTACAAATAGAACTACCATATGACCCAGCAATCCCACTACTGGAACTTATCCAAAGAAAAGAAAACCACTATATTGAAGAGACATCTATACCCCATGTTTACTGCAGCACTATTCACAACAGCCAATATACGGAATCAACCTAGGTGTCCAAGAACAGATGAATGAATAAAGAAAATGTTGCATATATACACCCAGAATATTATTTTTAAAAAGTTAATCTCATAGAAATAAAAAGTAGAACAGCCCAGCACGCAGTGGCTCAGACCTGTAATCTCAGTACTTTGGGAGGCCAAGGCAGGCAGATCACAAGGTCAGGAGTTCAAGACCAGCCTGACCAATATGGTGAAACCCCATCTCTACTAAAAATACAAAAATTAGCCAAGCGTGGTGGCAGATGCCTGTGGTCCAGCCTGGGTGACAGAGTGACACTCCATCTAAAAAAAAAAAAAAAAAAAAAAGTATAACAGAGTTCTACTAGAGGATACTAGAGGCTGAGAAGGGTAGGCAAAAGGGAAGAAGGAATAGGATGGAATTTATTAATGGATGCAAAAGTATAGCTAGACAGGAATAATAATTTCTAGTGTTCTATACGACTGCAGGATGACCATGGGTAACAATGTATCATTTCAAACAGCTGGAAAGAAGATACTGAATGTTTCCAACACAAAGAATAATAAATGTTTGGAATAATAGATACAATAATTACCTTGATCTAATCACTATATATTATATATATCAAAACATCACTGTGTACCCCATGAACATGTTCATTATATGTCAACTAAAAAAAAGTTTTTATTATTATTATACTTTAAGTTCTGGGATACATGTGCAGAATGTGCAGGTTTGTTACATAGGTATACACATGCTATAGTGGTTTGCTGCATACATCACCCCAAAACATTTTAATAAAAAACTAGCTCGGATGTCAGAGAACCTAAGAAATGGAGTGTCCGCCACCCAAAGAAAACAAAACAGAAAGACATTTAATCTTCTGTAGAAGCTGATATCCAAAATTTATCAAGGACAGAGTTAGTCCATAGTAAGTAATCTTGCAGTATTTCTCCTCACTATGTGAAGCTTCAAATTTCTTCTATCAAGTACTCTAAAACATTCACATATAGTACATATGAAAACTGATATGCAATAAAAATTGATACATAAAAAATTAAAATGTGTCTTAGAAAACATTATTTCATTAAAAAATTAGTATAGCTATCCATATAAAAGCACAAAAGCCACAACAGAAACAAAAGAATATTTTAATCACTTATGGGAATGTACACCTTCATATTTTATAATCTGAAAAATTAGAGGTCGCAAAATATGCAAATAAAGCATGTTAGAATGACTATACCTCATTTGTTGCATGTTTATATACTATGAATGATAGGGGTACTATATTTTCAACATAGCCCTGCAAAAGCATGAATAATTAAATCTACCATTATAAAATCAAATCAACATTATCAGGTTAAGTGAGACTCTACTTTGCATGCAAGCTTTATTATTTTATGTTAGTTAACCTAAACCCACCTGACTGAAGATGTCCATTGCGGCATGCCAAGTTAGTATTGTCATTATAGACGTCCGTTTGTGACTTGGAAAATGGCAAAACTGGTTGCATCTTCTCTATGCAACAGAGTGGGTAAAAAACAAAGAAAAAATAAGCAAAAAGGAAAAAAGATAATGAACAAATAAAATGTGCATGTGAAATGAAAAATTACTCAAGGTGTTATCAGATCGTTACATGATAAAAAGTTTTTGCATTTATATAAAATTATCTTTTAAAATACAATTAGTAAAAAGTCATGAAAAATAGCAGAAAATAACAAGTGAATGGCTATATTCTAAATATACCTTATTCAGTTAGGTAACCTGAGGCAGTTAGAGATCACTATCATCAACAGAAAATATTTACTGAATATCTAGTATGTCCAAATCACTGTTGGGAGAGTGCCATGGAGATTATTGTTGGTCTTGGTCTTGCTCTGTCACCCAAGCTGGAGTACAGTGGTGCCATCATGGCTCATTGTGGCCTCAACCCCTTGGGCTCAAGTTATCCTCCTGCCTCAGCCTCCTGAGTAGTTGACACTACATATACATACCACTATGCCCAGCTAATTTATTTTTTGTAGGGACAGGGTCTCAATATGTTGCACAGGCTAGGATCAAACTCCTGGCCTTAAGCGATTCTCCTGCCTTAGCCTCCCAAAGTGCAGAGATTACAGGCATGAGCCACAGTTCCGGGCCCCATAAAGATTAAAAAATGAATCACAGTTTCTACCATTTAGATATTCATTAAATATAGGCAACTTATAATAAAACTGTATATATATATTTTTAAGACTGCATAGTGCCAAGAACAGTGGCTCATGCTTATAATCCCAGCACTTTGGAAGGCTGAGGAGGGCAGATCACCTGAGGTCAGGAGAACAACTTGGCCAACATGGTGATACCTCGTCTCTACTAAAAATAAAAAAATTAGCTGGGCATGGTGGCAGGTGCCTGTGATCCCAGCTACTCCCAGGCTGAGGCAGGAGAATCTCCTGAACCTGGGAGGCAGAGGTTCAGTGAGCCGAGATCATGCCACTGCACTCCAGGCTGGGCAACAAGAGCAAAACTCCATCTCAAAAAAAAAAAAAAAAGACTGCATAGTACAAAAGAAAAATCATTGAAAAAGCTTTACAGAGCAAGTGGGCCATGAACTGGCTAGAATTTGTAAAGATAAAAAGAAAGGACATTTCAGGAAAGGAGAACAGCATTTAAAATAGCACAGAACGAAACTATAAGGAGTGTCTAGGAAATGCTATATTTGGCCATATTAACATATGTCAGGCAAAAAACAGAGGCAATAAAGCAGAGTCAAATAAGCATGCTTCAGTAACTGTATGCACAAACAGTACCCTACTATTTGTTTAAACACACACGTGCACAGCTGCATACAAAAAGATTACCTCTAAAAAGAACCCAGAGAAATTAATAGTAACAGCTGCCTCTAGGAAGGAGAAATGGGTAGCTGGGACATAGAATAGGATGGATGCTTTTCATACTCAAACTTTTAAAAATTTTGTGACATATGTCTCTATTACCTATTTTTTATATTAATTAAAAGGGATTATTTCAACCCTACTCCCACTTCAAATAACAACCAAAAGCTCTCCCAAGATCTGGGTCTCGTGAGTCTAACAACTGAAGCCCAAGAAGATAGTAGCAGTTTGATCCCCTTTCACTCTACACCACTGCTGCACTCTCTTCCCCATGTGGAGTATTTTGCTGAACCATAACTGATTCTTTTCTTCTATACTAACAAGTCAATGAATACATGGAAAATGCAGCACATATATATTAACTCTCTTAAACTTTCACTTCTAAGGTTTGACAAGCAGGTACCGTGCTTGGTTTATGGTGCAACCACATATGCCTTTGGGACTGGTCAAATAGCAGCTACCCTTTTTGCACAAAACACAGAGTACTGCAAAGCTTTTGTATCCTAGAACTGGCTGATACAATATATCTTGGAGGGTTGTTTTTTTTTTGGAGCTAACAGGTAGGTCATCTGATTTTTCGCAATGATAAACTCGTTAAACCATGCTGAAACAGAAACGATTTGTCTTAGTAAAAGCATGAATCAGAAAAAACACTGATTTGTAAATGTAAACATTTGTACATAAATGGTATCAATTAATACTCTCTTCAATGAAATGTAACAAAAAGTTCACAGAAACATTCATTACGTAATAAAAAGGAACAAATTATATTCTTAGTTTTTATAGCTAGGAATAAAAAACTAGGATTTGTTTTCACATGCATAGAGTTTAGATTTATATGTGTAGAAACACACATTTGTGTAACAGTACACTGCTTCTGTGACCCTGCTCCAATTCACTTTTTCTTTTTTTTTGGAGACAAAGTCTCACTCTGTCCCCAAGGCTGGAGTACAGCAGCATGATCTTGGCTCATTGCAACCTCCACCTCCCAGGTTCAAATGATTCTCCTGGCTCAGGCCCCCTACTCTCCCCAGTAGCTGGGATTACAGGCACATGCCCCCATGTCCAGCTAATTTTTGTATTTTAATATGAGGTTTTGCCATGTTGGCCTGACTGATCTCAAACTCCTGAATGCAGGTGATCCGCCCGCCTTGGCCTCCCAAAGTACTGGGATTACAGGTGTGGGCCACTGCGCCCAGCCCCAATTTATTTTCATTAAAAGACTAGGGTTGTACAGATTAATCAGTGATTTAAATTAAAGCAGTAACCTTGCTTCTTTATCACCTCACATCCAATCCCCACACAGTCATCTGAGTGGTCTACTGGAGGGGAAAATCTTGCCACATAACTCTTCTACTTAAAACCCTTTAGTGGCTTCCCATTGCCCAAAGATAAGAACTCAAGTTCCTTCATATGACAAACCAGGCCATCTATAATCTGCCTATGTCTCTCTTTTTTTTTTTTTTTTGAGACAGAGTCTTGTTCTGTCACCCAGGCTAGAGAGCAGTGGCGCAATCTCGGCTCACTGCAACCTCTGTTTCCCAGGTTCAAGTGATTCTCCTGCCTCAGCCTCTCGAATAACTGGGACTACAGGTGACTGCCACCACACCTAATTTTTGTATTTTTAGTAGAGACAGGGTTTCACCATCTTGGCCAGGCTGGTCTTGAACTCCTGACCTTGTGATCCACCTGCCTCAGCCTCCAAAGTGCTGGGATTACAGGCATGAGCCACCACACCCAACAGGATCTGCCTATATCTCTTATGCCTCTGCAATCCCAACTTCATGTCTCTACCTGCACCCTCCCCTACTCACCATGCTTTTCTTGCCTTTGAGTCTATGTTCATGCCATCACATAAAATATATCTTTTCTCACATTCTTTTTCTTTCAGACAGGGTCTTACTCTGTCACCCAGACTACAGTGCAGTGGTGCACTCATGGCTCACTGCAGCCTCGACCTCCTGAGCACAAGCGATCTTCCTGCCTCAGTCTCCTAAATAAGTAGCTGGGACTACAGGTGCACATCACCATTACTGGCTAATTTCTTTTTTAAGAGATGGGCTCTCACTATGTTGTCCAGGCTGGTTTCAAACTCCTGGTCTCAAGCAATGCACCTGACTCAACCTCCCAAAGTGCTAGGATTATAGGCATGAGACACTGAGCCCAGCCCTCACATTCTTTCATAACTTTTATTTATCTTTTTTTTTTTTTTTTTTTGAGATGGAGTTTCGCTCTTGTTACCCAGGCTGGAGTGCAATGGCATGATCTCAGCTTGCCGCAACCTCCGCCTCCTGGGTTCAGGCAATTCTCCTGCCTCAGCCTCCTGAGTAGCTGGGATTACAGGCACGCAACACCAAGCACAGCTAATTTTTTTGTATTTTTAGTAGAGACGGGGTTTCACCATGTTGACCAGGATGGTCTCGATCTCTTGACCTCGTGATCCACCTGCCTCGGCCTCCCAAAGTGCTGGGATTACAGGCTTGAGCCACCGCGCCCGGCCTTATTTATCTTTTTAAGTGTATACTTTTAGGTTTCATTTCTAGGAAGCTTTCTTTTCTTTCTTTAACCAGCTTTGTCACATGAGGAAGCTTTCTTAGCACCTATTTTCTCACCCTTACAAAATATTTGTAATCCCCATCCTGCAGTGATGACTACTTATGCATCTGTTTCTCCCACCGTATTATGAGGTCCTTAAGCAGAGGACCATTTTGCCAATCTATCAGTAAGTTCAATTGTTCAACCTTCAAGTATAATCATAATCCAACCACTTGTTACCATTTGTCATGATACTACCCTGGCCCAAGGCTCTATCACTTTTCTCCTAGATGACTGCAACAGTATCCCAATTACTCTCCCTGGTGATCTTTCTAAAATTTAAGTCAGAGTATTCCATTCCTTTCCTAAAAATCTTTTTTTTTTTTTTTTCTTTTTTTGACACAGAGTCTTGCTCTATTGCCCAGGCTGGAAGGCAGTGGCATGATCTTGGCTCACTGCAACCTCCACCTCCTGGGTTCAAGTGATTCTCCTGCCTCAGCCTCCTGAGTAGCTGGGATTACAAGCACACGCACCACACCCAGCTAATTTTTGTATTTTTAGTAGAGATGGGGTTTCACCATGTTGGCCAGGCTGGTCTCGAACTCCTGACCTCAGGTTGGTCCACCCACTTTGGCCTCCCAAACAGCTGAGATTATAGGCATGAGCCACCACACCAGGCTACTTTCTTAAAAATCTTTATAACTGCTTCCCATTTCACAGGTGGTAAAATCTCAAGTCCTCATGGTAGCCTTTACAGCCCTGTGTATTGTGACAATCCCTTTCCCCATGAGTTATCTGACTTTATCTCTACTGTAATCTCCTTGCTGGGACACAATGGCCTCTTTGCTGCTTCACAAACATACCAGGTATATTCTCTTAAGGGTTTGTATTGGCTCTTACTTCTCTGTGGACCATATTGTTTCAGGCACCATCAGGGGTAACTCATGGCAACGTCTCAAAGAGGGGACCATTCTGTTTAAAACCAAAAACCCAAACTAGGACAGGGTGTGGATGGCTCATGCCTGTAATCCCAACACTTTGGGAGGACAGGGCAGATGGAAAACTTGACCTCAGGAGTTTGAAAGCAGCCTGGGAAATATGGCAAAACCCAGTCTCTACAAAAAAAATGCAAAAATCATCTGAGTATAGTGGCATTCCTGTGGTCCCAGCTACTTGGGAGGGTGAGGTAGGAGAATCGCTTTAACCTGGGAAGAGGAGGTGCAGTGAGCTGAGACTGTACTGCACTCCAACCTGGGTGAGAGTGAGACCCCATCTCAAAAAGAAAAAAACAAACAAAAAAAACAGGCCCAGGCAATGTATGATGGCGCATGCCTATAATCCCAGCTTTTTGGGAGTCCAAGGTGGGTGGATCACCTGAGGTCAGGAGTTCAAGACCAGTCTGGTAACATGGTGAAACCTAGTCTCTACTAAAAATACAAAAAGTTAACCAGGCTGGTGGTGTGCACCTGTAATCCCAGCTACTCAGGAGGCTGAGTCAGGAGAATAGCTTGAACCCAGGACGTGGAGGTTGCAATGAGCCAAGATAGCACTACTGCACTCCAGCCTGGGTGAAAGAGAGACTTTGTCTCAAACAAACAAACAAACAAACAAACAAAAACAACTGGCCAGGCGCTGTGGCTCACACTTGTAATCCCAACACTCTGGGAGGCTGAGGCGGGCAGGTCACTTGAGGGCAGGAGTTCAAGATCAGCCTGGGCAACATGGTGAAACCCCGCTTCTACTAAAAATACAAAAAATCGTAGGGCATAGTGGCGGGTGACTGTAATCTTGGCTATTTGGGAGGTCTGGAGGCTGAGGCAGGAGAAGTGCTTGAGCCTGGGAGGTGAAGCTTGCAGGGAGCAGATACTGCGCCACTGCACTCCAGCCTGGGTGACAGAGTGAGACTTCGTTTCAAAACAAAAACAAAAACAAAACACTAAACCACCACTTGTCCACTCCTAAACCCCCTTACTGCGTTTCACTTCTTTTTTTCCCATATATTTACCACCTTCTAATAAACTGTATAACTAATTTTTTATGTTTGTTGTCTACTACCTGTCTTATCTCTGTTGGAATATAAACTCTATGGAAGAGGGATCCTTGTCTATATCCCAAGTGCCTACAACAGTGTCTAACACATGCTAGTTACCAAATAAATATTTGTTGAGTTAATAAGTTGTTATAACCCTTGGCACTATACCTGGTACAGAGCACGGCCTTAATAAATGAATGTTAAATGAAGCTATGTTAAAAAAATAAAAGGTATAATAGCCAGTTATACCAATTTGCTTACATTAAAATTATCTTTTTATCTATAGCAGGTTTTACAGTTAAGCTTTGCTCTAAGGTTCACTATCACTAAACCAAAAATAAATAATATATATGATCTTTCCCATTTTTATCAGAGAGGCTACATCCTCTCAAACCAGTCTGTGTTAGGAATTCCCAGGTTCATTTTCCCCATTCTCCATCCTAATTAGATACCTAACTGGCACCACACCTCTCAAAAACTCCAATTTTTAACCAGCACATAATAAACAAATATGTGTTACTATTAATACACATTTCTACACAGGTCATTTTTACTGTCTTTGGTATATCCACTTCCAGACCTTTTAAGTTACTGAAAGACAGGAATATGTTGATGTCACCTGTCCCATCTACCAGTCCTCACTTTTAAAATAACATCTTTCATAAACAAGCACATAGCATTTTTGAGGGTGAAAATAGATACCAACTTGAAAATATCCAAAATATTAAATCTTTAAATGACTAGCTTCATATTACATTACATATCCTCTTTTGGTTCTCTAGTCCACTAACACAGATAAGAAAGTACAAAGTCACACTCAAAAACAAGTCTCTAATTGATATTAATAATTCTACACTTGATCTTAGCCAAAAGGCTGAGAAGCGATGGGATATTAATACTTCTAATGTCCTATATAACTTCAAACAAAACATAAAAACCAGTTCTTAGTCACTTTGAAAGATGTTACAAAATGCTCCATAATCAAATTTATTCTGTATGATACATATAATACTTTATATACACACTGAAAAGCTTTAAAGATAAAACATGAGGTTGGGTACAGTGGCTCAAGCCTGTAATCCCAGCACTTTGGGAGGCTGAGGTGGGCAGATCACAAGGTCAGGAGTTCCAGACCAGCCTGGCCAATACGGTGAAACCCCATCTCTACTAAAAATACAAAAAAATAAGTCAGGTATGTTGGCACACTCCCGTAATCCCACACTCCTGTAATCTCTACTCCTGCAAAGGCAGGAGAATCACTTGAACCCGGGAGGTAGAAGTTGCAGTGAGCTGAAATCACACCACTGCAAAATGAACCAACAAAACAAAAACAAACCAAAACGAAAACAGATAAAACAACAAAAACAAAACTAACAAAAGAAAAACAGATAAAACACACAGAAAGTATGAATTAGAACCATCAATTATTTTACTGCAACAAACTTTAAAACATTAATTATATTTGACACAGTAATAACTTTCATTTAGAAAGGAAGAAGGCAAATCCTGTCAGCCACAGAAGCCGGGAACACTACCTTGTTATTCTTCTGAAATCATGAAGGGTTGCTTTTTTAACTATGTGGGTTAAAACCCTACAAACACAATGACCACATAGAAGTAAATGACACATAGGAGTAAATGAATGAAAGAATGAATAAAATGTATATGTATGTGTATATGAATTTATCTTTCTACCTAAGCAAAGGAGGTGGTTATAGTCAGGTAAACAGATGAATAAAAACCAACATTTTAAAGCACTTACTATGGGTTAGGTTCCTTTAATAATTCCACGGTCAGAAATATGAGATATTATTATTAGCTAATAATATTAGCTTCAGCCTGGCATGGTGGCTCATGCCTATAATCCCAGCACTTTAGGAGGCTGAGATGGATGGATCACTTGAAGTCAAGAGTTCAAGACCAGCTTGCCCAGCATAGTGAAAGCCAGTATCTACTAAAAATTTAAAAATTAGGCTGGGCATGGTGGTGCACACCTGCGATCCCAGCACTTTGGGAGGCCAAGGCGGGTGGATCACCTGAGGTTGGAAGTTCAATACCACCCTGATCAACAGGGAGAAACCCCCTCATTACTAAAAATACACAATTACCCAGGCATGGTGGCAGCTACTCAGGAGGCTGAGGCAGGAGAAAAGCTTGAACCTGGGAGGCAGAGGTTGCAGTGAGCTGAGATCACTCCACTGCACTCCAGGCTGGGCAAGACAGCAAGACTCTGTCTAAAAAAATAATAACAATAATAATAATAAGGCTAGGTGCAGTGACTCAAACTTGTTAATCCCAGCACTTTGGGAGGCCGAGGTGGGTGGATCACAAGGTAAGGAGTTCGAGACCATCCGGGCTAACACGGTGAAACCCTGTCTCTGCTAAAAACACAAAGAATTAGCCAGGTATGGTGGTTCATGCCTGTAGTCCCAGTTACTCGGGAGGCTGAGGCAGGACAATTGCTTACATTTGAGAGGTGGAGGTTGCAGTGAGCTGAGATCGCCCCACTGCACTTCAGCTTGGGTGACAGAGTGGGCCTCTGTCTCAAAAATAAAAACAATAAAATAATAATAATATTATCTTCATATTACAAATTAGATAAAAAAGACTCAGACATGCAAAGTAACTTACCCCAAGTCACAGAGCTACAAATAAATAAGGTTTGCCTGCTTACCAAATATCTACTATTTCTATTCACCAACGTATGGCAGAGCCACTCATATGTAGTGGGTTTTGTTCTGCTTTTTTTTGAGTAGTAGATTTCACTTAATAATGTATTTTTAAAATCTACACCATCAAACAGAAGACAAGGAAAAACTTCTATTACAGTTGATGAATGCTAAAAGAATGACAGTATTAAAGTATCACTGGGCATCAGTCATAGTTAACTGCTGCTAACTTCACAAGATGGAAGAACCAATGATGAACACACACAAACACAACCATCTAGGAAGTAGGTCTTATTAAAAAATAAAAACCAACTTTCATTGTGATCAAGGCTCTATATCCAATTATCATTTAACAAGGGGAGGAAAGAAGAACATGTTAAAAATTACCACAAAAGATTCACACAGCAAAAGTCAGACTGTAGGAAATACTACATAACAAAGACCTGGTTTCGTCAACAAATAAATTGGAAGAAAATGAAGAACAGATGCACCTGTACATTAAAACAGACATAACATATGGATCTTTTAAAGCTCCTGATTCAAACAAATGATTAAAAATAGTAAAAAATTATTAAATTTTGAGAAAATTAGAAATACAGAAACAGCATTTTCGAGGGATGAGTTTTTTGGATAATGTTAAAAGAAATTTGGGGTTACTTTTTAGGTGTGATAATGGTATTTCAGTGATTTATTTTAAAGAGTTCTTATCTTTTAGAGGTATAAAATGAAATATTTATAAATTTAAAAAGTCAATAATTTGTTTCAAAATAATATGAAGTCGGGGGACGGTGAGTTGGGATGTCAAGTGAAAAGCAGACTTCTGTAAAGGGCCAGACAGTAAATATTTTAGGTTTTATGGGCAGTGTAGTCTCTGTATCAACTATTCAGTTCTGTCATTGTCGCATGAAAGCCATAGATAATACCTAAAGAAAGGAACGGCTGTGTGCCAATGAAACCTTATTTATAATAATAATAGGCAGTGAGCTGAGTTGGCCCATCAGCTACAGTTTGCCAGCCCTTGCTATAAATAAAACCGACAGTGAGGTGATAATTATCAAAGCTGAGAGGTGAATAATTAGGAGTTCATTATGCTCTTCTGTTTTTTGTATATGTTACACATTTTCTTTATGTTAAAAAGCCTGGACCACATTTTCAATCACTGATCTATTTCCTTCTACAATTAAAGTTTCATTGAATATACATTTCCAATACATCTCACATCAAATTACACATGAATTGATACCTAGAAGTTGTAAGCGGTCCTTGGCCATAACCAAATTAGTCATCATTTTAGCTTGAAGGCGTCTAGCTCTTTCACACTGTTCACCTGAAAGAAAAAAAGAATTAATTAAAATATCTACGTTTCCCAACTAATACTATTTCAAGATAAATTATCACCCCAACTACATTCATGGAGAGTCACAGTCTCTATACAGAAATTTTAAAAAATAAAATATGTACCCAAAAGAAAGAAAAAAAGAAGACATTTTAAAAACATTATCCTCAGGCCAGGCGTTGTGGCTCACTTCTGTAACCCCAGCACTTTGGGCAGCTGAAGCAAGAGGATCACTTGAGCTCAGGAGTTCAAGACCAGTCTGGGTGCCTGGGCAACATAATCAGACCTAGTCTCTACTTTAAAAAAAAAAAAAAAAAAAAAAAGATTAGCCGAGCCTGGGAGGTTGAGGTGGGTGGATTACTTCAGCCCAGAAGGTGGATGTTGCAGTGACAGGTGACCGCATCGCAGCACCCCAGCTTGGGAAACAAGCTAAGGCCCTGTCTCAAAAAATATACATAACAGCCACACAAAACAAATTAGTTTCTCATGATGGCTTCCAAACTACTGTGGTATTTCATAGATTTCAGGTCTATTTCATAGAGTCTAAAACTTTTTTTTCCCACATTTAAAAATATTTGAAATTGGGATTTGTTTTACAACCAATGTTAACTTACTAACGCTATCCAACAGGCTGCAGTCATAACCTAGGCTTTTCATTGCCCATGCATGCACAAATTTGGTCGCAGATATTAATATTGTTGTTGTTTTTGCTGAGACAGAGTCTTGCTCTGTCGCCAGGCTGGAGCACAGTAGCGCAGTCTCAGCTCACCGCAACCTCTGCCTCCCAGGTTCAAGCGATTCTTCTGCCTCAGCCTCCCGAGTAGCTGGGACTACAGGCGCATGCCAAATGCCTGGCTAATATTTGTATTTTTAGTAGAGACAGGGTTTCATCATTTTGGCCAGGATGGTCTCGAGCTCTTGGCATTGTGATCTACCCACCTCGGCCTCCCAAAGTGCTGGGATAACAGGCGTGAGGCACTGTACCCAGCTATTGTTGTTATATCTATGTCTAAATAAGACTAAAACAGCCTCTTCAATACGATTAAAATTCAAATTCTAAGTGATAAAAAGAACATATATTTTAACTGTTTTTTTCTCTTAGTGGTTTAATACAAGGCATTTTTAATTCAATGAAATGCTTATTTTCCTTTTTTTTTGAGATGGAGTTTAACTCTTGTTGCCCAGGCTGGAGTGCAATGGCACAACCTTCGTTCACTGCAAGCGCCACCTCCCATGTTCAAGCAATTCTCCTGCCTCAGCCTCCTGAGTAGCTGGGATTACAGGCAGGTACCACCATGCCCGGCTAATTTTTGTATTTTCAGTAGAGACGGGGTTTCACCATGTTAGTCAGGCTGGTCTTGAACTCCTAACCTCAGGTGATCCACTAGCCTTGGCCTCCCAAAATGCTCAGATTACAGCCATGAGCCACCATGCCTTGCTTTCTTTAGGAGACATTGTCTTACTTTGTTACCTAGGCTGGAGTACAATGGCATGATCAATGCTCACTGCAGCCTCAACCTTCCAGGCTCAAAAAATCCTCCCGCCTTAGCCCCACCAAGCAGCTAGAACTTACAGGCACATGCCAGCATATAGGGCTAATTTTTAAATTTTTGTAGAAACGGTATTGCCATGCTTCTCAGGCTGATCTTGAACTCCTGGTCTCAAGCAATCCACCTGCCTCAGCCTCTCAAAGTGTTAGGATTATAGGTGGGAGCCACTGCGCTCAGCCCTACTTAAAACCAGTTCATTTTTTCCTAACTTTTCTTCCATATAACTTGAAACAGCAAATATATTTTGCATGTAATTGATAAAGTATGCTCATCATAGTCTCAAAGGTCCAACTTCCTATGTTTACCTGTTCTATTCTGCTTTCTTTTATACACACCAGCAGCTAGAGAAATAATCAAAATATAAAGAGGAGAGGAAAAAAGTAGGGTTAGACATACTGTAATTATTGGAGATCAGTTGATATAAGTAGTAGAGTCAGCCAGCCAGCCAGCCAGCCAACAGACATCTACTGGATGAATTGATTCAGAGCCTAAATACTGTAATTTCTAATTCTGAATATATTTCTTTTTCTTTTTTTTAAGACAGAGTTTCACTCTTGCTGCCCAAGCTGGAGTGCAATGGCGTGATCTTGGCTCACTGCAACCTCCACCCAACAAGGTTCAAGCGATTCTCCTGCCTCAGCCTCCCGAGTAGCTGGGATTACAGGCATGTGTCACCATGCCTGACTAATGTTGTATTTTGTTAGTAGAGATGGGGTTTCTCCATGTTGATCAGGCTGATCTCGAACTCATGACCTCAGGTGATCTGCCTACCTTGGCCTCCCAAAGTGCTGGGATTACAGGCATGAGCCACCACACCCGGCCTGAATATATTTCAACTATGATAAGCTGGAGTACTTTACTTATTTAATAGTGGTACTCACATACTTCACAATAGGCTCTGAAGTCAGGCTGCCTCACCTCAAATCCTAACTCTATACTTGCTAGCTGTGAGACTTTAGGCAACTTCCTTAATTTCTCTGTATTTCAGGTTATTCAGCTGAAAAATAAGGATAACAGCAACTACAGAGCATGGGGTGGTAGTGAAAATTAAAAGAAATACTACATACGAAGCAATTACAATGATGCTTAGGCATACAGGAAGTGTACAATAAATGTTTTATATTATATATATATATACACACATACATTTATTGTTGTTGTTGAGATGGAGATCTTGCTCTATTGCCCAGGCTGGTCTTGAATTCCTAGCCTCAAGCAGTCCTTCTGCCTAGGCCTACCAAAGCACTGGGATTACAGGCATGAGCCACTGTGCCTGGCCAATATATTTAAAGACAATATTAGACTCTAATTTTTAATTTGAGGTGATAGGAAAATAGAAGTGAGTAATGACTGCTTTGGTTTTAAAATAAACCAAGAGTGGCCATTCGCAGTGGCTAATGCCTGTAATCCCAATACTTTGGGAGGCTGAGGCAGGTGGATGACTTTGAAACCAGTTTGACCAACACAGTAAAACCCCATCTCTACTGAAACTATAAAAAATTAGCTAGGCATGATGGTGCACACCTGTAGTCCCAGCTACCTGGGAGGCTGAGGCAGGAGATTCTCATGAACCCAGGAGGCAGATGCTGCAATGAGCCAAGATCACACTACTGCACTCCAGCCTGCGTGACAGAGCAAGACTCTGTCTCAAAAAAAAAGCCAAGAGTGAGTTCAGGTGCAGTGGCTCACACCTGTAACCCCAGTACTTTGAGAGGTGGAAGTGGGAGGATCGCTTGAGGCCAGGGGTTCAAGACCAGCCTGGTCAACATAGCAAGACCCTTTCTCTATCAAAAAAACAAAACAAAACAAATTTAAAAATCCAGTGTGAATCAAAATAAGACATTTACAGCTCATAGTCTAAAATGCAGTCAAGAAGCATTACTTACAAGTGCAAAGGAAATTTGTGGATTAACCAATCTTTCCCTCCTTGACAATGAGGAAAGGGCCAGATTTCAAAAATAGCGTATAGCGACTGAACACCAACAGTGACACCAACGAGGACACAAATAATATAGTAGTTTTTGCCTAATGCTACAGGTAATCAAGTTTGAGCATATCTAACTATAACTTCATTTTTAGAATAAGTAATAATGAATTAACTGTAAGTCCACAAATGTTAACAGTAACATTAAAAAATGTACAAATACTTTTATTAAGATAAATACAATCCGGCTGGGTGCAGTGGCTCATGCCTGTAATCCCAGCACTTTGGAAAGCTGAGACAGAAAGATGACTTGAGCCTAGAAGTTTGAGAACAGCTCTAGAAAAATAGTGGGACCCCTGTCTCTACAAAAAAAATAAAAATTTAATTAGTTAAGTGTGGCCAGCCACAGTGGCTCACACCTGTAATTCCAGCACTTTTTGAAGCCAAGGTGGGCGATCACTTGAGGTTAGGAGTTTGAGACCAGCCTGGCCAACATGGCGAAATGCCATCTCCACTAAAAATACAAAAGTAGCTGGGCACAGTACCATGCGCCTGTCATTCCAGCTACTCGGGAGGCTCAGGCAGGAGAATTGCCTGAATCTGGGAGGCAGAGGTTGCAGTGAGCTGAGATTGCACCACTGTACTCCAGCCTGGGCAACAGAGTGAGACTCCATCTCAAAAAATAGTAGTAATTAGCTAAGTGTGGTAGTGTGCACCTGTGGTTCCAGCTACTTGGAAAGCAGAGGCAGGAGGATCAGTAGAGCCCAGAAGTTTGAGGTTGCAGTGAGCTATGACCATATCACTGCACTCAGCCTGGGTAACAAAGGCAAGGCGCTGTCTCAAAAAAAAAAAAAGAAAGAAAGAAAGAAAAAGAAAGGAAGCAAGGAAGGGGAAGGAGAAGAGGGAGGGAGAGGGGGAGGGGAGGGAAGGGAGGAAGGAAGGAAGGAAAGGAAGGAAGGAAAGGAAGGAAGAAAGGAAGGCGGGAAAGGGAAGGGGAGGGAAAGGGAAAGGAAAGGAAGAAGGAAAGAAGAAAAAGAAATAAATAGATTAAAAAGATTTGAAATCTGGACAATCGTGAATATATTATAACTTGGGATGGCTATAAACAAATATAATATATATATATATTTTTTAATTTAAAGATGAGGTTTCACCATGTTGGTCAGGCTGGTCTTGAACTCCTGACCTCAGGTAATCCGCCCACCTTGGGCTCCAAAGTGCTTGGATTACAGGCGTGAGCCACCATGCCCAGCAAAACAAATATAATCTTACCTTGTCCTGTAACTATGACAGCTATTCCTTTTTCCAGTTCTTCAATACCTTTCTTATACCATTCCACAGCTTGCTCCTTCTGTCCTGCTTTAAAATAAAAATAATCATTTGTATAGATCATGAGTATGAAGAGTACACTAAACATTGCAAAGCATGCTGTTGATAGATAACACATAAAAAATAGGGTTGTAAACAAGTAAGTCTGAGAAACATTACTACATAACTTCTTAGTACTTTTATCATAGTAATGTGTGTATTACGATGGCTCTAAGATGGGGAATACGGTCAGAATGTTTATCAACATTTTAGGCCTGTGGGTCCTTTTTTTCTTACCATCTCATAGTATTGATCCTTATAACCACTAAAATGCTGTATTAAAGACATTTTATTTAGGAATTTTTAAGTATATATACTTTTGAAAAATACAAATATGATTTCAGTAACGAAACAAAAATCACTGTTCCATCTCATATTCAAATCTAATATAATGTGTTCATTGTTAGGTGCCTCCTCTCTAGAGTAAGTTTTTATTTAACAATTGATTGCATCATGAGAACTGGTATATTAGATTACAAGGGTAGCATTTAGTAACACATTTCTATTTTCTTTGAACTAAACAACTAACTTAAAACATTAATTCCTAATGCAAGTTAAGCTTTAAAAGAATCTAAAAACTCAGCATAATCAAAAATAATATAGAACAACTTCTGTAATCGTTATACTCAAATCACATTGTATTTGAAAATTAATTTTTTGTTTTATTTCTATCATTTTTGACCATTTGTCTGAATGAAAGTTTATTATTAGCCTTTTCTATTATTTTTGACCATTTGTCTGAATGCAAATTAATTTCTTAGTCTGTCTTTTTTTTTTTTTTTTTTTTTTGAGACAGAATCTCGCTCTGTCACCCAGGCTGGAGTGCAGTGGTGCTCTCTCTGCCCACTGCTCCGCCTCCCAGGTTCAAGCAATTCTCGTGTCTCAGCCACCAAAGTAGCTGAGATTACAGATGTGTACCACCACACCCAGCTAATTTTTGTATTTTTAGTACAGACAGGGCATTCACTATGTTGGCCAGGCTGATCTTGAACTCCTGACCTCAGGTATTCTATCCGTCTTGGCCTCTCAAAGTGCTCAGATTACAGGCTTACAGGTGTGAGCCACTTCACCCAGCCTTGTTTTTTTTTAAACAGAGTCTTGCTGTCACTCACACTGGAGTGCAGGGGCACGATCTTAGCTCACTGCACCCTCCAACTCCTGGGCTCAAGTGATCGATCCTCTTCCCTCGGCCCCCCAAGTAGCCAAGGCAACAGGCATGTGCCACCACATTCAGCTAATTTTTTTGTGTTTTTTTTTTTTGGTAAAGATAGGGTCTTACCTGTTGCCCAGGCTGGTCTTAAACTCCTAGACTCAAGTAATCCTCCTACCTTGGCCTCCCAAAGTGCTAGGATTACAAGCTTGAGCGATCACACTTGGCCTCATGTCAAACAAAAATTTCCATGCCATTCCTTACTATTACTTAAAATTTCAAATTCAATATAGTATGACTCTTGTTAAAACAGATGAAGTCATATTATAAACACCACACAAAGCAACTAAGAAATGCTGTCTCCTTATGAGTACATACTACCTACCACATTCTTCTGTTTCTTTATCCTGAAAATAAATCACTAACTAGATTCACCCCCTTAAACAGGGCAATTTCTTACTTATTATAGAATTATCAGTATTTCATACTGTGACTGATTCAGAGTAGGTGCTCAATAAGTACTTGATAATGACATGTAAAGAATAGTTTATGAAGATCAGGCACTGTTGGCCCATGCCTGTAATCCCAGCACTTTGGGAGGCCAAGTCAGGAGGACTGCTTCAGCCCAGCAGCTCAAGACCAGGTTGGGCAACATGGTGAGATTTTATCTCTACCAAAAAATTAAAAAGTTAACCAGGATTAAGGGTGCACATCTGTGGTCCCATCTACCTGGAAGACTGAAGAGAGAGATCCCTTGAGCTGGAGAGGTGAAGGCTATAGTGTTTGCACCACTGCATTTTTTAACCTGAGCAACAGAGCAAGACCCTGTCTCAAAAATAAATAAATAAATAAATAACGAAGAAAAAGAAATTATTAAGAGTTTGTTATAAATTAACTAAAATTATTTGGATGCTCGCCTTCCTGTTTTCCACAAAGAAAATACCTATTTACATGTATTTTTGCTGTTTTTAATTGGAAAAAGGAAAAATTACAAATAGTATAATAGCATTTGTACTGACTGGCAAAAATAGTGATAACAATGTCATACTGGGTTTAAAATTTTAAAAACAAGGTGAGTAAACTCTAACAGATACAACTGTAAGTTCCTTTTTTAGTGCCTCTTCCATTCCCATGCTCCTTTTCTTCTAAGAAACCTCTACCAAGAATTCAGTGCATGGCCGGGTGCAGTGGCTCACGCCTGTAATCCCAGCACTTTGGGAGGCCGAGGCGGGCAGATTACAAGGTCAAGAGATTGAGACCATCCTGGCCAACATGGTGAAACCCCACCTCTACTAAAAATACAAAAATTAGCTGGGTGTGGTGGCACGCACCTGTAGTCCCAGCTGCTCGGGAGGCTAAGGCAGGAGAATCGCTTGAACCCAGGAGGTGGAGGTTGCAGTGAGCTGAGATTGTGCCACTGCACTCCAGCCTGGCAACAGAGTGAGACTCCATCTCAAAAAAATAAATAAGCCGGGTACGGTGGCTCACGTCTGTAATCCCAGCACTTTGGGAGGCCGAGGCGAGTGGATCACGAGGTCAAGAGATCGAGACCATCCTGGTCAACATGGTGAAACCCTGTCTCTACTAAAAATACAAAAAATTAGCTGGGCATGGTGGTGCATGCCTGTAATCCCAGCTACTCAGGAGGCTGAGGCAGGAGAATTGCCTGAACCCAGGAGGCGGAGGTTGCGGTGAGCCGAGATCACGCCATTGCACTCCAGCCTGGGTAACGAGTCAAACTCCGTCTCAAAAAAAATAAAAAAAATAAAAAATAAATAAATAAAAATAAAAAAATTCAGTGCATATCTTTCTAGTATATGTTTTTATGGTCCTTATCTAAATTAGTGTGATTTTTTAAAATTTACATTTCTTTTGAGATCTAGCCATGCTGCTATATATAGATCTAGTTCATTCATTTTGACTTCTGTACAGTAACCTGTATCATTCTGTGATTTACAATTTATTCAATTATGTCTTATTTTCTTGTTTTTGGAGACAGTCTTACTCTACCGCCCAGGCTGGAGTGCAGTAGCATGATCTCAGCTCACCTGCAACCTCCACTCCCCAGGCTCAAGCGATTCTTGTGCCTCGGCCTCCAGAGTAGCTGGGATTACAAATGTGTGCCACTATACCTGCCTAATTTTTGTATTTTTAGGAGAGACAGGGTTTCACCATGTTGGCCAGGCTGGACTCAAACTCCCAACCTCAGGTGATCCTCCTGCCTTGGCGTCCCAAAGTGCTGGGATTACAAGCATGAGCCGCCACACGCAGCCTCAACCATTTTTTCAATTATTAAAAGATACTGAGATTGTGGCCGGGCGCGGTGGCTCAAGCCTGTAATCCCAGCACTTTGGGAGGCCGAGGCGGGTGGATCATGAGGTCAAGAGATCGAGACCATCCTGGTCAACATGGTGAAACCCCGTCTCTACTAAAAATACTAAAAATTAGCTGGGCGTGGTGGCGTGTGCCTGTAATCCCAGCCACTCAGGAGGCTGAGGCAGGAGAATTGCCTGAACCCAGGAGGCGGAGGTTGCGGTGAGACAAGATCGTGCCATTGCACTCCAGCCTGGGTAACAAGAGCGAAACTCCGTCTCAAAAAAAAAAAAAAAAAAAAAAAAAAAAAGATACTGAGATTGTTTCCAGTTTTTCAGTACTTCACACAATGCTGTAACCTTCTTATACCGGTACCCTAATGCATGCCTGCCAGTTTAAGACATATGCTTAAGAAATAAAAGTGATGAGTCATAGTTTGTTACACTTTCACTATTCACCAGAAATCAACAAAGTGCTTTTTTTTTAAGATTGCTTATTCCAGCTGGGTATGGTGGCTCATGATTATAATCTCAGCACTTTGGGAGACCGAGGTGGGTGAATCGCCTGAGGTCAGGAGTTCAAGACCAGCCCAGAAAACATGGTGAAACTCCATCTCTACTTAAAATACAAAAATTAGCTGGACATGGTGGCATATGGCTATAGCTGAACTACTCAGGAGGCCGAGGCAGGAGAATCGCTCAAACCTAGGAGGCAGAGGTTGCAGTGAGCAGAGATTGTGCCACTGCATCCAGCCTGCTCAACAGAGAATGACTTCATCTCTATCTATCTATCTATCTATCTATCTATCTATCTATCTATCTATCTATCTATCTATAGTAGGCAAAGAGTAAAATACAAATTTGGCCAAAAATTTGAGACATAAATGGCAAATAAATGTATGAAAAGATGCTCAACATCATTAGCTGGTAGGGAAGTACAAATTAAAACCACAAGATACAACAATGCACCTAATTTTGAAAAACAAAAAACAAAAGAACACGAAAATACCAAAACATGGCCAGATGTGATGGTTCATGCCTGTAATTCACACACTTTAGGAGGCCAAGGAGGGTGGATCAAGAGGTCAGGAGATTGAGACCATCCTGGCTAACACGGTGAAACCCCATCTCTCTACTAAAAATACGAAAAATTAGCTGGTTAGCCGGGCATGGTGGCATGTGCCCGTAGTCTCAGCTACTTGGGAGGCTGAGGCAAGAGAATCACTTGAAACCGGGAGTAGAAGGGGTTGCAGTGAGCCAAGATAACACCACTGCACTCCAGCCTGGGCAACAGAGTGAGACAGAAGAAAGAAAAGAAAATACCAAAATATTACAAGAGAAAGAGTAACGGACGTTTCATGTATTTGCTGGTAGGGAATACAATAGTACCCAGTTGGAAAAAGAGTTCGGTAGTTTCTTATGACGTTAAACATGTATTTATCATATAAGTCAACAATCTCTTCTTCTACTTATTTATGCAAGAGAAATGAAAACTTCTAAGACCTGTACATGAATTTACAGTGTCTTTA